CCGTCCCTCTCCTACCCATGGTGGTGGTGGCGGACAACTGGATCATTAGTTCCGTTTTTTCTCCTCGCGCAGGTGGTTGCTGATCGACCCCGAGCTCCGCGAGCCGGCGGCGCGCCCAGGGGGCGGGGAGGTGAGCGGGAGGGCGGGCCTCTCCTCCCTCCGCTGGGATGACCGTGGGGGTTTCTAAGTGGATAGGGGGGTTACAAGTGGATGCCAAGGTGGTTTATATATGATCTGGCCCAACCTGGCTTATAAGTGGTTACACGTGCCAAAAGTAAGGGGTTTAACTATCCGGGCGAATTGGGCTCCGCCGCCTTAGCGGAGTTATCCTTCCCCCAAAGCCATGCGGGGCGCTTGTAACCCACTTATGAGCCTGGTTGGGCCAGATATAACCCACCTTAGCATCCACGCGTAATCCCCCTATCCGCTTAGAAACCCGCACGGTCATCCCAGTGAGCGGGAGGGCGGTCCGTTTTCATGAAAGGGAGCTTTGTCCACCGCCGAATTTTCTAGAAGTCAAGAACATGGGAAGGAAGAGCAACTATCAAACGCGAGCCTTCTGAGAGAAGGGCCCGCCCCCCGTGCCTTCCCCCCTGGCCGCGCCGCCGAGCCATCGGTTCACGCAGCGAGGCGGGCAGATACTGCCCGGCGCCGGCCCCAAGTGGAGCCACGTTCGGCGCGCGCCCGGGAGGCCCGCCCGGGAAGGCGGCGAGCTCGCGGTCAGCGGAGGCGGCCCGGAGGAGCCCGTGTCTGGGGACGAGGAGGAGTGGCCCTGGCAGGTAGTTGGCATCATGGGCGAGGGTATGCTGGCAAATCTGCGTGCACATTTCAAGCTCTACGAAGCGAACGTCGAGAAGGTGCTCAAAGGATCTGGCTTGCCCGTTCCTGCGCCTGGCTCCTTCGAGGACACCTTGCGCGAGGGCTCTTGGCTGTTCCGGGTAACTGACCCTGAGGGGGTTCCAGCATACAGCAAGCCAGCCTTGAATTCTAGCGTTGTCGGTTTTTTGCGCCATCGCGATTTTGCACGCGTCGACGTTCAGGGTGGTGGATGGCTGAGGCTCGCTGTTGAGAGGACGAGGTGGGGGCGATTGCCGGTTTGGGCCCCGCTCTCTGGATCTGATTCGCGCGGCCATCTTCGCTTCGAATTGATCCCAGAGGAGGCGGACATCGGGCTTGCTGAGACGCCCGAGCACTCTCCCGCGGAGGCTGAGGTTCTCGACCGGCCTCTTGGGCCCCAAGCGCCGCCCTCTGCAATCCACGAGGGCAGCGCCGCAGACGAGGCAGTGGAACTTGCCTCCGAGGGTGGCGTGGCGACCACGGCGGACGCGGCGGGCGCCACTGATCGCAGAGCTCCGGCGCCGCACGCCGCGCTGCTCGGCGGGGCGCTCGGGCCCCGCCCCGCCGCCGCTGCGCGCCTGGCACTGGCGGCCAACTCCACGGCCCAGGCTGCGGTGGGTTTGCACCAGGCTGCGAGCGCTTCTCCCTGCAGAGCTGGGCGCACAGCGGCGTCTCGGCCAGCGCGCGGAGGGCGCTGCAGCTCTGCGCCTCCGGCTGACGCTCGTGCGAGCCCTGCTGCGGAGCCGCCGGCCCTCAAGCGCGCTGCAGGAGGCCGCGGCCGCGGTGGCGTCGCAGCCGGCGGCCGCGGCGGCGCTGTTCTGGCTTGCGCGCTGCGAGCTGCGCCGGGGCAGACGCCAGGCCGGGATCGTGGCGCTGGAGGCGGCCGTGGAGTCGGGGCCGCTGTCTCGGGGGCTGCTGAAGGTGTCCCTGGCCCGGGGTGCCCCAGCTGCTCGCTCCAGTTTGGAGCCCCTATAGGGCACTCTGTCATGAGACAGCAGCTCACCCCCACACCCACCAGGACGATTTTCACATGTTGTTCAAAACGCCTGTGGATGTCCTCGACGTGCTCAGACGGCGAATGTTTAGAATTCGCCAAGTCGTTTGACATACATATGTCTAGTTGTTTTATCATACTGGTTTTGCGTTTCGCGTTCTCGTTTATGCAAGTGCGCTGCTGCATTCGCGCCAAGACACGATTTGAGCAATGCTCCAGCGAGTCTCGCGCATGCCACATTTCATTAAAACGGTCAGGGCGTTCGGGTTTAGAACATCGGTGTTGCCCGCCGCTCGGCGGCTGCGTTTGCTGCAAACTGCCAGTGGTCTCCGCCCGGGGCACGAGCAACCGCTGGCGGGCGTCCGGCCGCAGTCCCCGCAAAGAAGCTTTGACACGATCTGCTGTGATGTGTTGGGTGCGGGGATGGCCTGGGTGCTGCCTTCGCTCGAGGCCCCGTGAGGGGCTCTCCGCAGGCCCCGCGTGCCCCCTTTGACGTCCTGGGGACACCTCGGACCAGGGACGAGTCTGGCAGCGCCCGCCCGTCTGGGCCAGCAGACGGCGCTTGGGGACACGCGGGCGCCTCCGCGTACCTCCGCGCCGCGCGCGGCAGCTCCCAGCTGCAGCGCGCGGCGGAGGCCGCCGCTGCGGCTGGGCGCCTCGAGGCGGCCGAGGAGGCCTACGGCCGGGCGCTCGCTCTGGCCCGGGCGGGGCTGCGCGAAGACCGCTGGGGCTGCGCGCGGCTCTGCGCCGACCGCGCCGTGGTCCGGCGGCGGCTGGGGGACTTGGCGGGGGCCCTGGCGGACGCGGACGAGGCTCTCTCGACGTTCCCTCGGTACGCGCGGGCCCTGTTCCGTCGGGGGCTGGTGCTGCTGGAGCTCGGCAGGCCGAGAGATGCCGTCCGCGCCTTTGAGGGCGTCTTGAGGCTCGACCGCCGCTGGCCGCAGCTCTGCCACTGGCTCGCGCGGGCGCGGGCGGAGTCGCGGCGCGCCGACGTGGCACGGGGCGCTGCGCGGGGAGCGGCAGAGGACGAGGCTGGAGAGAACTACTACGGTCTCCTAGGCGTCTCCGCCGACTTCACCCTGGACGAACTGAAGCACGCCTTCAGGAGGGCTAGCCTCACGTACCATCCCGACAAGCCCGGGGGCTCGGAGCGCGCCTTCCGGCGCGTGGCGGCCGCCTACGAGACGCTCGCGGATCAGGAGCGGCGCAAGTCTTACGACCAGGGCCGGGATCTGTCGGACTCTTTTTTCCAGGAGATTGAGCGAGAGTATTTTCCTGAGCGGTACGGCTTCTGGCCTTTTGGCGACCCCTATGAGGACAAGCGGCGATTTATGTCCTTACGCCGTGGCCAGACTAGCCAGAGGGGTGCCCAGGAGCAGGCATGGGATCTATGAGCGCAGGGCTGCATCGGGCAGAACGTGCTGGCGTCGGAGCGTATTCGGAGTCAGTCGTCAGCTACAACACTGGGGTCAATGGAACTGTATCGTGTTCGTGGCAGTAGGGAATCGTACTTGAGCATCTGGGTATCGGGGGTTGAAGGTGAAATCAACAACTGACTATCATGTTGAAGCCTGCACGTACGTAATCATTTCTTCTGCTCAGTGGGTCGGAACAAACTACGTGTGGTCCGACGACGGCCAATTGCTGCAGTGTTGGAGCCAGCCAGTGTGATTCGGCAGGCTGTGTTTTGTATCCCTCCCAGCTGGATTTGAGGACCAGCGCGCTGAAGCATGTATTTGAAATGATGAAGTTGTTGGGTGCGACGGTTTGGTAAAGTCATCAGGCGATGCGATTGCTTAGCTTGCTGGGCGAAACTGGGTTCAAACCAGCAGCTAACAACTAGAACATGTCATCGTTGTCTCATGTCATGCTGGTCGTGCCAACGGCAGTAGGCATTGAGTTCTCTGAGAAACGAGATGCGGGAGAAAACGATGACACCTCAACATGCACCGACTACCTGAAACCGGGACGCGTGCGATTGCCAGCGGTATTCCATCTCTTCCACTCCATGGGTTTGGAAAACGAGGTGGAGTCCCAGCTCTACAGGTTGCACTTATCGAGCCAGCTCGTGCGATTGCCAGTGCTGTCAGGCTCTGACTTTGCCTCCGCAAGGCAGGTATACCGCCGAAGATTACCGCCTTTGGGGTCAGATGCCGGTTCTGGATACCTGGATGGGAGCAGCGGAGTCGGGTCGAACATGTCGTTGCAAAGCTATTCAGACCTGTCGGCTATCGCCATCGTCAGCCCCACACCTCCCATGGTCGTGTTTCTTTTCACGATGGTAGCCACTGGAACTCCCGACTCCATTCCCGGGACTCTTGGCAGGCAGTTGTTGGTCCTGGGGCCATTTCGCGGGCCCTTGGACACCAAGAGTCGAGGAAGACTGTTGCCGTCGTGGTCTTTTCTCGACGCCAGGGTTTTCTGGGCAGTCGGTGCGCGTGACGGTTGTCAGCGGCGGCGTGCGGTGCGGTTGCTCCGCTGGGGTGTGAAATTTGCCCCGAGGAAGGGGCCGAAGGTCCCAGCGGCCAGCGAATCCAAGAAATTGGACCCGTCGAAGGTCTCGGTTGGATGCTCAGAATTTCTTGACGCTTCGCGTATCCCCACCAGCTGGATTTGCACGCCTTGGCTCTGACGCCCTGGGTCGCTGCTGCCTGCCGCCTGACCGCGGCCCTGCGCGCGCCCGCTCCCTATTCGCGGCCGCAGCCCGACCGTGACCGCCTGCCGCTGGCGCTTCCGCCTGCGGCTGTAAAACATAAAAAAAATCCCCACCAGCTTCTTTTCCTGCTGCCTAATCGCGGCCCGACTAGTGTTTGGACGGCTTTCGACCCGTCTCGCGAGCCTGTTGACCAAAAAGTATCCCCACCAGCGTCGTTGCATCTGTGCTTCGTACCTTTACGCCACCCGACCTTCTCGCCGCGGTCGCGATCAGGAAAAAAGGAGAAGGTATCCCCACCAGCACATCCAGCAACGATGCCCTGGCGAGTTGCATTGATCAGGGAAGTGTGGGAACACGCAGTGGAACAAAGAGGTGGGGACAGCCGTCAAACTGAAGATTTCGATCAGCTTGAGCGACCCCAGGATTCAGCCATGAGCGCCCTCGCGGATCTTTCGGTATGGGAGCTTGTGAGTCCTCTGGGGCCCCCATGGGGCCCTCTGAGGTCCTCCTAGGGCTCTCATAGGGTCTGCTCGGGTCTCGAATGCTGTCTTGGGGCCATCACGTTGGCCGCCGGTCAAAGACGGTGGAGGTGTTAACGTACGCCCCCGTTGGCGACCAATGGCTTGCCTCTTGGGGCCCTCTCGGGGTGCGCTTGTGCGCTCTTCGGGGCCGTTTTGGGCCTCTCGTGGGGCTTTCTTGGGGCCATCTTGGAGCATTCTGGCGGCCTCGAAGGCCCAACAGAAGCGGAAGCGCGAGGCAACAAGTAACATTGATGCTCATTCTGATCTGAACCACGCCGAGCCGTCTTGGGACGGTCATGACGCCTCTTGGATGCATGTTGCAGGTTGCCTTGGGCCATCTTGTGCGATCTTGGAGGCCACCTTGGGATCCTGGGCCATCTGGAGCCCTCTCGGAGCGATCTTGGGCCGACTTGGGCCCTTCAACGACCCACGCCCCTCCCCACCCCATCCAGACCTGCAGGGAGGGGGTAGGGAGAGAGGTCAAGACGCCCTACCCGCCCTCAAGCCGTCTCGCTCACTCTACCCCGGCCTCCCAGGACGAGCCGCAGCATGATCAGCAGTCCTCTGGATGTGCAGCTGTTGGGGATCAAAACGGACCTCGTGTGCGCGACACTGGGGCGAGCTGCGCCACGCGTGCTGTGCGCGCCAGGCACCCCCGCGGCCCAAGACTGCCGGGCGCGCCCGTTGCGCCCGGTGCGCCATGTGCCCCACGTGCGCCAGGCGTGCCGCATGCTCCAGCTGCGCCAGGTGCGCAGCGCTCGGGGCAGGCGCGGAGTGCGCCAGGTGCGCACACCCGGGAAACATGCCCCGGCCCCCAGCGCGCTTGTCGAAGACCAGAACCAAGTCGCGGCCGAGTGGCCATCATGGTTTCTGGTGGGCCTGCACACAGCAGGCAACATGCCAGCACGCCCGCCGCCCTTGTCGGAAGCAACGCAAAGTGATCGCGGGGTGCCCGAGCACGGTCCAGATGTTGCCGCGAAGTGCTGTTTTCATTGTTTTTTGGCAGGGATGGTGGCCCCGCGCGCAGCAGGCCATACAGTCGGCCCGGATTAGTAGGTCGACCCTGCCAGCTCAAGGGTCCCCTTGTGTCCTGTGCCTCGCGACACGTGCCGTCTTACACTCCTATGGCGATGTGGCCCTCGGAAGGGTCTTGTGTCCTCTCGCGTGTCCTGTCCAATCAAGGCCGACTGTATGCCAGGACCCCCGCCGTCCCTGTCGAACAAGTGCTCGCGATCCCCCGACGTGCTCGCGTCCCTGTCGAAAGGCCCAATACAAAGCGCTCGCGATCCCCCGAATATGACACATATTTAGCCGCAGTGTGCACCCTTCACATTGTGGACAGGGATGGCGGGAAGGGGGTGTAATTGGCCCTGGTTTGTCGCAGGGGGGTGCATTTTTCAATTAATAGTGGGCAGTGATCAGGCTGCCCCACGCCGCAAGCTTAGTCGCTCACTCCCACCCGCACTCCTTTTACAAAAGGGGCCACCATCGACAACCATCGGAAGCCAATGCAGTCACTAGCCAGTTGCGCGATGCCCGCAAGGTGCGCCGTACGTGCCAGGTGAGTCACGCGGACTAGGTGCGCCACATTGGGCAATATGTCTACCGCTTCAACATCCCTGTCAAAAACCTTCGCAAAGTGACGGCTTGTTGACGAGCGGTGTGTAGTATGTGTAGGTGCGCACCCGCAATAATTTTGAATCTGTTTTGGCTGGTATAACTAGTAGGCCTGCGCACAGCATGCAGCATGCCCCCCCCGCCGCAACTGGCAAAATGAATCTTGCGTTTTTGTGGATGGGCCTGCACACAGCAGGCAGTATGCCTGCTCCCCTGCCGTCCCTGCCAAGAGCCAGTTCACAGTGATTGCGGGGTGTCCGCGCAGGATTCCGATGTTGGTGCAAAGTGGACTTCGCATTGCCTTTTGCAGAGGGTGGCCTGGGTGTGTCCGCACTGCGCACGGCAGACAGTATGCCAGCACCCCCCGCCGTCCCTGCCACAAACAAACACGCAGCGTGATCGCGGGGCGTCCGCCGCGCGTGATTGAGGTTCTGGTGCAACATAGATATCTGTGTGTGTGATATGGTCGTGTTTTGACAAGGAGGTGGTAGGGGGATGGCGGCGTGGTCCCGGGTTTATCGCTGGTCAGAGGTGCAGGGGGCGCATATGAAGACGGAGCAGTGGTCAAGCTGCCCTCCCCCGAAGGCAGGCCGTCTCGCTTACTCCCACCTGCTCTCTCACCACATAAGTAACACACAAGCTTCAGCACGGGCAGGTGTCGCCATCGACCATCATCGGGAACCAATGCCAGCCAGTTGCGCGACGCCCGCGAGGCGCGCCGCGCGTGCTGAGACGCGCCTGCGCGCAACAGGCAATTTGCTGGCAGCCCCTCGTCCCCTTCAAAAAATCAATGCGACGTGATCGTTTCGTACCCCCACATGATATAGGTTTTTCCACAACGCGTGCTTTGTTCGGTTTATTGTCGGGATGGTCGGGGAGATGACATGGTCCCGGGATCGTCCCCGGTCAGGTGGGGAAGGGTGTGTATATACATATATATATATATATATATACACACGAACTTAGAAGGAGGTTGGCTTTTTTAAGCTCCCACAGGCCAGAAGAGGAGGGAGGAGGAGGATGGTAGGAAGAGTTTTGCCAGAGAGAGAGAGAGGGAGTGGTGGGAGGCAAATGGCAACGGGGGAGGAGCAGAATGCTGTGGAGGAGGAGGAAGCGGAGACTGGCTCTCGACGCTCTTCTCCCCCCCCCCATCTCTCCTCCTCGCACCCTCTCCCGGCCCATCCCACCGCATCCATCCTGCTCCCCTTCCCATCCAATTCTCGCCCTGTCCGAGGGAGGTGGAAGGTAGCACGCCTTGCCTGTCTATTAGCTAGCACACGAAGTCTAGTCCTTCATGTGAGCATTTACCTCATACGTCAGGGTATTGCTCTACATCTTGTATATGTAGGTGGCATACATGCTGGTAGGAGCCAAATGAGGCAGAGGGGCTGGACTGGTTGGTTGACGCTTTACTTTTCTCTTTCCTTCTGCCACACTTTCTCGGCCCATCCCGTCGCATCATCTCTTGCTCCTCCTCCCATCCCATTCTCGTCCATTCCCTCCCGTTCTATCCCCTTCCCCGTGTTTCCACTCCATTCCCTTCCTCCTGCGCACCCCTCCCGTGTTCTCTCAGTTCGCCGTCTCCGAACATTCAATGGTTATCCAAATCCTTTACATGCATATTCCCATGTTCCTGCACTTGCCCGTGCCTCCAACGACTCCGTGGTTTAGCTTCTAGACGCTTCGCGTAACCCCACCAGCCCATCCAGAAAACATGCCCAGGCGAGTTGCCCTGATCAGGCATGAGGGGTAGCACGCAGTGGAATAAGGGCTGGGAAGCCGTTATACCCTAAGAGGGGGAGGATGGAGGAGGAGGAGGAGGAGGAGGAGGAGGAGTTCTCGAAGGCTGCCTTTTTGCATCGTGTGCAGTCTTTGTGACCTTCGGGTGTTTTTGTGGGATGGCAGTTCTTCTCCACTCAGAGTGCTGAGTTTGTTCGTTTGGGGTGTTCTGCGATTTGTGTTGGGCCCTCCAGGTGCTCCTGTCGGGGGGAACGATGGGAGGGTGGAAGGGGGGGAGGCAAAATCTGCTGCCCCCAGCTGGTTGCGACCCCACCGCCAGGCGCATTCCTTGACCAGTGGCAGTCTCGGGCGCCGGGATGCGCCAGAACATCCGACTAGGGCCTGATCTAAACGGTGTTTGGGCGATTTCGTGGGCCGTTTTCGTTCTGATGTCGTTGTAGTGCAGAGGCGGGACAAAGACAGCACGAGGGAAAGCGCACAACGAAACGAAATCCACACTTTTTCGGGGTCCAGCCCTGCATCCAGCTGCGTGCGGAGGATTCGCTATAGCCCCCGCTTCACTGCCTTGCTTGTCCGCCCACACGCCCTTCCTACCCTTCCCTCTCCGCCCCCCCGCTGTGCTGCCATGCCTTTTCCCCGGTCCTTTACAGAGGACCAGCGCGCTTCGCAGCGCGCCCGTCGCCCAGCACTGGGCCGCCTTCGGGCGATGACGGTCGTTCGTTCGTTCATTCGTTCGTTGACCCCCCCCCCTTTCGGATGCAACTCCTGGGAGGTCAAATTCTGATTTTGCCCGGGCCCGAAATCCGGTTCAATCCGGCTTAATCCCGCTTAATCCCGCTTAATCCGGCTTGATCCCGCTTAATCCGAGGCTCACTCCGGCGTAACAGCCCCCCAAATGGGGCCTAATCCTCCTTAATCTTTCCGACGAACACCTCCCAGTAGTTGCCTCCTACTATCTTCAGGTGCACCAGTTCCAGGAGCAGCTCTTCGAGGACGCGGCGGCGGGGAAGGAGGGCGCGAAGGAGGCGGCCGAGGCGGCGGCTCAGGCGACGCGCCTCTCTGGGCGCAAGTCGTGCCTGTCCCTCCCCAGGGGGAGTATCTCAAGATAGTCAAACGAAACAGCCTGGGGACGATCCTTGACCACTCTTGAGTGTTCAGAAAAATAGTCCAGAGATAGTCTGGGGACGATGTTTGACCATTTCTGCATATCTTTGGTGTCTATGTTGTGGCATGTCTCCTGCTTCGTCCAAAAAACGCCGCCTGTGGGGGGGCGCGCCCGGCCTAAGTCTGGGCCGGCGCCCCGCGCTCGGGGCCGAGCGAGCGCACCGCCGCTCGGAGGAGCCGAGGCCATGGAGCCCCCCGGGGCTCGCAGAGAGGGCACGTGGCCACACCCATGGCGTCACTCGGAGAAGAGACGAACGCACACACGTACGTAAACGTTTGGCGCTCCGCGCCACAAGTTTCGGTTTGTGCGGTGTCTCTCCTTCGAGTCACAGCCTGGAGCATGAGCTGGCGACTGTGTGGTTGCGCAAAGGCCTCGGATGCGGCGCCTTTGATGCGCGCTCGGCCCTGGCGTATCCTCATCCACGCCCTGGCAGGCCTGACCTGCAAAGGAAGCAGCACGCGAGGGTATGAATATGGAAATGGCCGTTGGCCGAAATGTCGATCGATTGAACGATTGGACTCGCACAGGGGATGCTGTCGTCGGCGTTTTGTTGGGGGAACGCACTGATGTCGGCCAGATCCAGATCTTCTTGTTCCCTGGTCTCATCCCCCCGAACAGTGCCGACGTCGAGGGCTTTCGCCCGCGCGCACATGCTCCTCTCGCCCACGGCGGGCGCCCCTCCAGTCGGCGGCGAGCGAGGGGGGGGGGAAAGTGAGAAGGAGAAGGCCTTCCCAGAAGATTCGGAAGGCCCCCAGCCTCCCCCGAAGACAAAACACACAAGCTTCCCGCAGGAGGCGCGAGGGCTCCTGAGAAGCCCCGCCGCCTTCTGAGGAGGCCTGCCCCCTCTCACCTCCCCCCCCCCTCGCTCGCCGCCGAGCCAGGCCCCCTGCAGGGGCGCGAGGCTGACAGCGCCGCCGTGCCCCACGCCGGCCGGGCCCGAGGGCAGGCCCGCTCTCCGGCGGGGCGGCGCGCGGGGGGCGGCCGCGCGAGTGCCGCGACTCGGGCAGCGCGCGGGCCGCGAGGCCGAGGCTGAGGCAGGCCGCGTGCAGCGGGGGTCCGTGGTGATCGTCTTCGTCTTCATTGTTCTGCCGACCGGCTCGGGCCCCTGGCCCCCTTGGCGCCCTGCCCCCCCCCCACCCCCACCATGGAGTAGATCTTGGCTGTCCTTGGCGCCTGCCTCGAGCAGGCGGAGTCTCCCCCACAGGGCGCACTGCCGCAGGCAGTCTCGTTAAGCAGAGGTCCGGAGCCAGACTTCCCCCTCCCCTTCCGCCGAATGTCGAAACGCCGAATCAGAAGACGTTCACACGCCCAGTGTAGTATCCGGGGAGGGGGCGACAATCGCAAACGGGTCTTGCGCGAGATGACGTGGTGACCTTACGCCGCGGCTTGCGCGGGCCGCCGGCGCGGCACGCTGCACTGGAGACGGTGGCGCTTTCGCGCGACCTTGCGCGGGCAGCTTACGCGCCAGTGTCGGCGCAGACGACAGCTGCTGTGGCGTCGCTCCATGGAGGCAGCGGCAGTGGGCCTTCGGGGAGGCCTCGTCGCCACGGCTGTGCAGCTCGGGAAATACGGGTGCGCGGGGGCCCCGTGGTGCGGGTCCAGGGGCCGAGGTTGAGCTGTTGTGCAGTCGGGGCGCTGGAGAAGGAACCCTTGGCGTTGGGGAGGGGCTCCGTGTTCCTTACCTGTTGTGCAGTTTGCCTTGGGTGTTTCTTTAGTTTTCGATGGAACATCGAAGCTTACCTTATGGGAGAAAAGGGGCCTCGTTCCTTATTTTGGTTTCCTTGGGTCAGCGCCCCGGCTGTATCTCGAGTCGCCCTGCTCCGATGGGAGCTGGTGCGTCTGCGCTTCCTTTTGCGCAGACGTTCGTTGCACAGTGGTGGTCGGGGGGGAGGGGGCCGGTAACGTCCCGATCTGCGACGGCGCCGTCTGGGAGCTAGCACCTTTGGTTTCGGGGGCGGACTGACTTCCTGCCCTGACACGTCGATTAGCGAATTGGCCGTTTTCGGTCCGCGAGAGGCCGTCGCGGCCGCCATTTTTGCAGGTCCAGGTCCGTCGGTTTCGGTCCCAGGCCGTTTTCACTAAAGGGTGGTTTACTAAAGGGAGCTTTGTCCACCGCCGATAGTCATTCCCACACGGCGCCGGCGTTGGGTACCAACGTTCGCAGAGGAGGATGGCAGGGCGAGGAGATGGGACGAAGGCCCGTGCCGAGTGTCTGGTGGAGAGATGGGGCAGGGGTGTTTTGAAGGGTTTATTGAGGTGCACGGCCCAGCTCAGTGATGTCCGCCACTTTGGTCTGCAGGCTGGCTCAGATCTTTCATGGTTGCTGACTCGCCGGAATTGGCGTGTGGAAGGTTGCATGCCTAGCCATGCCCACTCGAAATGCATTGGCTGCGGCAGCCGTGTCTGGAATCAAGCTTGTCTCTTGAAAGCAGCAGCCACCCTCAAGGCAACGCCAACCCTTTGAGTAACGCAAGCCCCAGTCAGGATATCCAAATTTGTGCAGCTAGCAGCCTGGCATCTGTGCCGATCGGGCGCACGCCTAGGCGGATTTTCGGTATAGGGGCATTCGAGGCTTCTCCATTTCTCTTGCTGGTGATTGAGCGACCCACGTGAAGTGACCCTACTGAGGAGCAGCCGCCAAGGGAACCATGCTGAGAGCCAACGGGATTCGGCATGATCGCGTGTGCGTGACCACCGCTTTGCAAACATCTGCCTCTGTCAAGGCTGCCCGTTGCAGGATTACGCGCTGAGATCGCTGCTGCCGGTGAGAAGCTTTTGCAGCCTGGTACAATGGTCGTATATCTCTGGAAGCGACCGCAGCAGGCGTGTGCACTTGACTTGGAGAATGATGTCCTTGCGTTGTCCTGTGCTTTACCCGAAGGTGTGCGCCACTCCTTCTGCTGTCTTTCTGCCCCGCCCGGCGCCAGGCGATCGACGCCGAGGGGCTGCCTCAGCCGTCGTCGTCCCTGGGCCGCCAGGAGTCGGAGCAGAGCGCAGGCGCTTGCCTCTCCTGGCTCTCGATGTCGTTGGCGCCATAGGTTCAGAGTCAAGCGGGCTCCTGGACACAGCAGGGGCCTGCAGTCCCAACATCCGGTGATGCAGCAAAGCGCCACGACGTCGCGGAACAAGAACACGACCAGAGCTCTCGACTTTTTTTTATCTTGTTGTGCAGGGTTGATCGAGCTGGATCGATCCATACAGTCTGAGCTTAAGATAGGCCCAAGATCTCCGACGACTCGATTTGTGTTACCGCTCGGGCCCCAGAGATCAGCCCTCGACCCTGTCCCCTGGACCCACTCCCCACCGGACAGGTTGGGGCTGCCAGACTTTTATAAATGTCATCCGTCACCACCCACCAAACCACCTCAACCCAACCCGAAGGCTCAGATTTACCCTCGATTTCTAGTAGGGGGGGTCGGGAAACATCGAGAAAACACAGGTGGAACCCTTACCCCCCCCAACCCGAAATTCGGGTCTTCGGGTTGGGTTGGGGTGTTCTGGTAGGTAGTCAATCCGCCAGCCCTGCACACCGCGTCCGCTAGGCCCTGAGGGTCTCTGAGCCTCCCACCTCGCCCGCCGGCCCTGCACAACGCGGCCGCCAGGCCCTGGCAGTTCCAATGGTCCCTGGGTCTCCTGTCTCGCCCGCCAGCCCTGCATAACGCGGACACGGGGCCCCAATAGTCCTGATGGGTTTGCCGTCTCGCTGGGCCTTGAACATGTAAAGCGACACACACACATTTACATGTATACATCTATATACATATATACACATGTATGTATGTATGTATGTCTGCCTGCCTGCCTGTCTGTCTGTCTGTCTGTCTGTATGTATGTATGTATGTATGTATGTATGTTTGTATGTATGTATGTATGTATGTATGTATGTGTATATAGATTCGGTCTTGCACGACTAATCAAATAAGATTGGCCTCACTCCGCCAACAGGCACCAAACATAATGCATCTGTAACAGGCACCCGTGAACAGGCACCATAACATGTTTCAGGAAGTGGCGCGAGTGGCGCGATTGGCAAATTCCTACTCCGTACTATTCACACATGGTCCCGAATGCAACCTCTGCACATCACATCAACACATTCGTAGCATGCACAAGCGACGTGACACAAACGCAATCATCAACATCTTACGCACATAACGTGCATTAGTTGTGCTCGCAAGTATCTCGCATCATGAACATATTTTAAGACAAGACATCAAGATCATGGCCCAAGGACAGACAGCAAGCTTGGGCATCAGGACAAAGTGCGAAAACCATACACCAAAGACAGACACTGTCAACATACACCTACACAGGCGCCCATACTCGACCCCAATGGCATGGGGCAACCATCGCACATCAATGAGCATGACTCAGGATGCACGCACGCCGAACATGATGACCAGCCGCCACACATCATCATCATGAAGGTTCACGCGCGATAGAATGCGAAACCGCTCGCGTCAACTTCCTGGCGCGGATCGTCCGTATCGGCATCCCGTGCCCGGTTGCAGCAACTCTTTGGCCCAGAACTGAGCTTTCCGAGTCCCCTGCGTGCTGAGCAGCGCCAGGCTCGACCTCTGCGCGACGCCGGGAGGTCCGGGCCATGCCCTCCCTCCCAAAGGCCCCAAACAAGAAGCCGCACGTGCACCCAAAGGCTTCTGTGTCCTCCGTCCTGGGGCAGGGCCAGGATCCGAGGCGGGAACTTATACCTGACCACCGCCTGGAGGGTCAGTTTTGGGAGCCTCGGCAGGCGGTGGACATGGACATCTCCTGGCCCCCTGGGGCCAACATGGATCCATATCCACCGCCCGCTGGGGCACCAGGGCGTCGGTTCCCAGGCGGTGGATATGGATAAACCTTTGCTTCGCACAGAAGCCCCGCTCTCACTGTCGGTGTGGCCCGCTTGAGGCCAGCCTAGGGCCAGGATCGGGAAGGTGCGGCACCCGAAGGTGCTGGGGGCGTGGATTGTGCGGAGGAAGGTGAAGAGGTGCAGGGCGCACGGGAGAAGGAGGGGAAAGAGGCGTAGGGGGAGGGAGAGGGGTGGGACCAGGTCGGGGTCGGCTGCGGCCTGGCTGTCGTTTCCAAAACATGTTTCCGAGGATTGCTGCTCCTTTTGGTGGTAGCCTCAGCCCTTCACAAGCTTGCGTGGAACGACGGAGGAGGGTAGAGCGTCGAGTAGGGGCCTGAAGGGGCGGAATATGTGCTTCCCCAGTAGGAAGAGCCAGCGTATGAGGTGGAGGGGAGGAGGAGGAGGAGGAGGAGGAGGAGGTTCGGTCTGGGGGGAGTGCGAGGCGGATGGGGAAGAGGCGGAGGAGGAGGAGGAGGAAGGGAAGGACGAGGACGAGGTCCAACCTCCCCTACTCCCTCACCTCACCTTGCTCCCCGCTTCTTCTCCCCTCCCTTCTCATCTTTCCCCACTTCTCCCCTCCCGTTTCCCTCCCCCCCTCCGAGGAGGAGGTGCGCCTGGGGGAGAGAATGCCGAAAATCGCGCGCGGGGCTCAGCAAGGCATGAGGGTGCACACCCAACTTGTTGTCACAGACAACATGTTTTTGTTGTGTTTTTGCGACCGCCGTTTTTTTGTGACAACCTGTTCTTCTGTTGTTTGTGACAACTGTTTCCTGTTTTTTGTTCGTGTGTAATTTGTGACGACCGGTGCTTTTCCCTAATCTGTGTTTGCATTGAAGGGGTTCCCTGTTTCCCGAGCTCCCGGTGATGAAGTTCTGGGCCGAGTTCGGTGCACCTCCCAGGCTCCCAGGTTCCGGTCGATCTCCTCGGCGAGAACCATCCACTGATTGGGGTCTCAGAGATCCGATGTCGTGATTTTTTCGATACGGGGTCCCCGGAAGTCTCGACCCATTCCCCAGGACCAGTGTTTCATCCCGAGTCGCTTTTTGACGGTCCCGGGGCCCGGCGAGGGCCCCTGGAGGCCAAAACCTGCGAAAAACCTCCGTCCTGATTTTGTCGCTACGTTGGATCTCTTGGGTTTTTTCCCAACCATCCTGTGGTGTTGGGTCCTCGTTTTGAAGAGACAGCGCCCCGCGTTCACTCCTCCTCCCGCTGCCCCCTCCCTCCTGCCATCATCATCATGACCATCATGACGATCATAGGGAGCTCCAGCGAAGGCCCCAGTGGCTGCGCTCCCATGCGCCCACCGCACCCATTTCGGCACACCCCTCACACGTTTCGTGGCCCCATAGGGAGCTCCAGCGAAGGCCCCAGTGGCTGCGCTCCCATGCGCCCGCCGCACCCATTTCGGCACACCCCTCACACGTTTCGTGGCCCCATAGGGAGCTCCAGCGAAGGCCCCAGTGGCTGCGCTCCCATTCGCCCGCCCGCACCCAGGGACGTTTCGTGGCCCCAGCGAAGGCCCCAGTGGCTGCGCTCCCATGCGCCCGCCGCACCCATTTCGGCACACCCCTCACACGTTTCGTGGCCCCATAGGGAGCTCCAGCGAAGGCCCCAGTGGCTGCGCTCCCATGCGCCCGCCGCACCCATTTCGGCACACCCCTCACACGTTTCGTGGCCCCATAGGGAGCTCCAGCGAAGGCCCCAGTGGCTGCGCTCCCATATTTGAGCCCCCTCCAGCGAAGGCCCCAGTGGCTGCGCTCCCATGCGCCCGCCGCACCCATTTCGGCACACCCCTCACACGTTTCGTGGCCCCATAGGGAGCTCCAGCGAAGGCCCCAGTGGCTGCGCTCCCATGCGCCCCCCACCATTTCGGCACACCCCTCACACGTTTCGTGGCCCCATAGGGAGCTCCAGCGAAGGCCCAGTGGCTGCGCTCCCATGCGCCCCCGCACCCATTTCGGCACACCCCTCACACGTTTCGTGGCCCCATAGGGAGCTCCACCGAAGGCCCCAGTGGCTGCGCTCCCATGCGCCCACCGCACCCATTTCGGCACACCCCTCACACGTTTCGTGGCCCCATAGGGAGCTCCAGCGAAGGCCCCAGTGGCTGCGCTCCCATGCGCCCACCGCACCCATTTCGGCACACCCCTCACACGCTTCGTGGCCCCATAGGGAGCTCCAGCGAAGGCCCCAGTGGCTGCGCTCCCATGCGCCCGCCGCACCCATTTCGGCACACCCCTCACACGCTTCGTGGCCCCATAGGGAGCCCCAGCGAAGGCCCCAGTGGCTGCGCTCCCATGCGCCCGCCGCACCCATTTCGGCACACCCCTCATACGGTTCGTGGCCCCATAGGGAGCGCCATCGAAGAAGATACTCACAATTGCGGCACTCGCAGCTGCATCTGGTTGGGTCTTTCGCCAGGATAATTCTCTGGTGTGCCTTTGTTCTTTGCGACGTCAGCATGACTTGCCTGGCGGGTGCTCTGGGGCCGGCCCCTGCTCGGGGAGTGGCGCGCGCCGCGTGCCCAGCCCCCCCCCTGGCGAAAAAGCAGGCTCCTGCGACACCGGCAACAGCGGCGACGGCGCCCTCGAGACGCCCGAAGGGAGCTCGGCGGCGCGGCGGCCCCCGACGACGATGCCCCGTCGACGCCGCCGGCATTCAGAGCAGGGAAAGGTACCGACGCACCGCTGCCCTGCGCCCGTTTCCTCTGTTTTTCGGCCTCCTCGGAGGCTCTCGTTGTCACCGCTGGACTCGCCTCGAACTCCTGGTCAGAACGCACCCCGGGAAAGGTCCGGGGAGTAGCGGTATCGGTACCTTTGGGACCTTTTGGTTTCCCCAGGCATCGACGTCGTCGACAGTGTGGTCGTCGTGGTCGTCGTCGTCGTCGTCGACGTCGTCGTCGTCGTCGTCGTCGTCGTCGTCGTCGTCGTCGTCGTCGGCGTTCCTGGCCTCGTCGGCGTTACCGTCTTCGGGGCTCAAGGGGCGGGGGTCAGTGCAGACGGGGGTCGGCCAGAGCGCGGGGTCTTGCAGGCTATTGCAAAGCCGGGGCCGCACTGCCCCGGGCTCGGGTGCAGGGTTCTGCAGGATCTTGCAGGATCCTTCGCATTGACCCGAGTGTGGGTGCAGGATATTGCAGGATCCCACCAGGCTTGACTGACCCGGGTCTGGATTGACCCGGGTCAGAGGATCCTCAATGGCTTGTGGATGATCGTCGGCACGGCCAGACGCGGCTCGGTGGACCAGGCAGGGTTGACTCGCTCTGGAAGGACACGACGGAGCCAATTATCGGCCTCCGAAGCCCACATAATGTCCTCCAGAACACCCCTTCACGAGGCCCCGAGGGCCCCAAGGGGTCCAGAAATGCGCGCAAAGCTGGGACAACCGGGGGGCAGGATCACTTCTGTCAACCTCCGAACAAGAAGCTTGGGAGAGAAATAATCAGCTGGGGAATGGTCTCGAGAGTTCCCGGGGCTGGCGGCTCGGAAACATCGGGTCATCGGAGGCCCGAGTGTGTGTGTGTGTGTGTTGAACATCGCGGGCTCGTTTTCGTAGTTTGTTGTTGCTGTTGCTGAGTTTTCATTTCTACAATATAGTTATTGTTGATACCCACCGGTGCACATTCGTTTTTCACTTAAATGGTTCCGCCTGGGGTTCGCACCTGTTTCTGCCAGGGAAACGCTTGCGGGTCAGATTGGGTTGTTGGCCCCCGAGCTACAGCAACAACGGCTCCCGCCTGATACTCCCTCGCAGTGTATTCCAAAATCGCGCTCTCGCGCGGGACCTCATCATAACGGATGCAGAAATCGCGCCCTCGCGTGGTACTCCCTGGCAGTGTATTGCGGCGCTGTGCCTCCTAGACTCAGGCAGCACGCTCTCGCCGAGGATTTCCTATCGCGCTATCGCCTGGATTCATGGCGAGGCTATCTATCGCAGATAACATCGCCATTTCCACGATCGGTACCGCACCCCTTTACTCGGCCACGCACAGAAGGGAGGTTAGGGGGAGGGGTGAAGGCTTCTTAGGAGCACCCCTGCTTCTGAGAAGACCATGGCCTTGCCTACAGATGTAAGGCCGTGGCCTTCTAAGAAGCAGGGTGCTTCTAAGAAGCCTTCCCTCCTCCCCCGACCCCCTTGTGCGCGCCGCCACTTTACATTTTTTCACCACCCACCCAACCACCCCAACCCAATCCGACGGCCTCAATTTCGGGTTGGGGGGGTACGGATTCCATGGTTGCTGAGGTGTTGTTATTCTCTGGGGTGATCTGAATCCAATCTACTTTATCCGCCTTCCTACTTCATGTTTGCACCTACTTCCTGCGACCGACGTGTAACCCTCTTGTTCCCTGAGCGCGCGCTTGCTATCTCCCTCGTCGCTGTCCTCGCAGTCGCTTGTAGCCGTGTGGGTCGCTTCCCCCGGTCGCTGGATCGGTCAAGATTCTCGTCCTCTTTCTTTTCGGCTATCCACGCCCGGATGGCATATGGTGCGGCCCCTGTTCTGAGGCCGGCGCAGGCGGGGTCCGTTCGTTGTGCTTGACTTGTTTCGCCTCGTCGCCGCACGCGGGGCGCGATGACCAACAAGTGTGTGTGTGTGTGTGCGCGTGTGCGTGTGTGTGTGTGTGTTGTGTGTGTGTGTGTCTGTGTGTGTTTGTCCGGGCAATTCGCAATGCCGCCACCCGGTTTGCTTGGGCGCGCGTGCGGACTGCCTCTGCCACGCTGCGACTCAACACGTGTGTGTGTGTGTGTCTCTGTGCCTGTGCCCGTGTCCGTGTCTGGGTGGGCCTGTGCCGAGTGGCGCGGGTCTCCGCCGCCGCCGCGAGCGGTCGCGGCTCGGACAGCTGGCCAGGACGTGCTCGCGGGGAGGGCTTCCCGGGGGACTGCCTCCGCGCGGGTCGAGGGCGGGGCGGCTGCGGCCCCCTCGTCGGGGAGGGCCGCCCCGCCTCGTCGAGGCCCTCGCTCGCGGGAGCGGGCCCCCCCGGGGTGCGCCGAAGATGACGACGGGCGCGCCGTCGCCGGTTACGGTTTTCAATTTGTGAGAGGATGTATCTTCGGGGGCGGCAAGAAGGGGGTGAGGACTAGGGATTAGGGTGGGTGGATATCATGGCGGGGGCCATGATGTTTCCCCAGATTTCATGGCGCCTCTTCTTGTTTCATTACGTCCCTGGGTCCCCCTCTGGGCCGAGCACGTGCCGCCGGTCATGATTTGCACCCCCCCGTCTTGGACCCCCCCCCTCTTGGCCGCTCCCGAATCTGACGCATCGGCATACAAGTGTTCTTCGAGCGCCCCCTGAGAGAGAGAGAGAGAGAGAGAAAGTTTTGGGTGACTGTGCTGCAGAATAAGTCCCAGGGGCTCGGGCACCTCGCAGTGGGCGGGGAGTGCAGGAAGCTCGCATAGCACGGTCAACCCGCATCGGAAGGATGGGCAGCCTTCCCAAGGGTATCCTTGCCCCGTCGGCCCATCCCCGGCGACTTTCGCTGGCCAGCCTCGTGCGAAAAAAAAGTGCCATGGGCCTCCACGGCCCTTGCACCCACACCCCGCGTCATTCTGATACGGGGCCCCGGGCTGAGGGCGCTCGTGAGGAGGGGCGTCGGCCACCCGCACGTCTGCGGCCCTCCATCGCACGAGCTCATCGCCGAGGGCGTCGGCCACCCACCTGTCGGTGGCCTCGGCGAGAGGGGCGCATGGGGAGAGGCATCGGCCACCCCGCGTCATTCTGATACGGCCGTTGACTGCCCCTTCGGGGCCCCTTGGGGGGGGCTCTCCTCCTGCTCCCTCGGGGCCCCAGGGGGGGCCCCCCTCTGGGCTTCTTCGGGGGGCCCGCTGCCCTGCACCCCTTCGGTCCCCCCCTTCGACGCCCCCCCCCCCCCACTGCAGAACGCCCGAGGGATCGACGCTGCCCGAGGCGGGCGGCGAGCGAGGGGGGGAAGGGGGAGAGAAGGGGCGGGCCTCTGGCAGAAGGCTCGGAAGCCCCCGGGCCTTGCTGAGAAGGTGTCCAAGCCTTCCCCGCAGACGCACAAAAAGCACATCAGAAGGCCAGAGGCCTCCTGAGAAGCCCCGCTGCCTCCTGAGAAGGCCTTCTCCTTCTCAGTGCCCCCCCTCGCTTGCCGCCGACAAGGAGTCCCTCTCGTTCTCCGGTGGCCGCATGCTCGACCCGCTCTGTGCCACCGGGGGCCCCCCCTCTGCGAAGCCGCCGAGGAGCAGCGGGAACTCGCAGTCCAGCGCCAGCTGCAACGCCGACGAGGACAGCCAGAGGCGCCCACGCGTGGTCGGGGAACGAACGACGCGCGAGGGTGGAGGTTCCCAGGCGTTCCCGTTGCCCTCCTGGAGCTCCCTGGGGCCCCCCCGTCGCCACGGCTGGAACTGCCTCGAAATCCTGGCCAGGAGGCGCTCCGAGAGAGGTCCTGGGCTCGGTCTCCGCCGCCGCCGCCGCCGTCGTCGTCGTCGTCGTCGTCGTCGTCGTCGTCGTCGTCGTCGTCGTCGTCGCTGTCCGCGCCAGGGACGGGGCTGACGCGTTCGTCACCCGACGAGCGTCGCCGACGTCGCTACGCCGTCATCGTCGGCGCTGTCGTCGTTGTACCTCTCGTTCTCCCTTTCCTCCAGCTCTCCGCTCTGCGTTTGAGAGCTCGACGCGCATGCTCTGTGCGAGGAGGGAGAAGTCGCTAGCCAGCGCCACTAGACGGAGACACACACTCCAGCTTCTGCAATTTGTAGTTGTCGCCCACGACTTCTCTGAGCGTCGGGGCTGTTCGATCCTACCAATGCTAAGAGGTGGTGGAGGTACACCCTTCTTGTGATGTCGGTAGCACGGGTTGGTGATGCTTCTTTTGCGGTGAGTGCTTCTGCTAACTCCAAGCAGCATGCGCCACAGTGTTTACACACTGCGTTACCTTGCGTGGAAGCTCGGCAAACGGAAGGCTGCAGAGTTCTGCCAATATCCCTTGTCGGACCTAGCAACTGCACCCTGGCCGTTAGGAAGCGTGTACATCAAGGGGGGCCTGCTTAGACTCTGAGAAAGCAGGCGTGAGTCTCGAGTGCGCATCTCTCCTGAGGCACGAAGGTGGGGTATGGGAGCACCTCCCCCCACCCTTCAAAATCGCCAGGTTTGTTCGGCCGAGTGGCCTGTTTTGCCTCCTCGACTTCCCGCGCACTTCGAGATGATTCTCCTCATTGTCGTCGTCGTTCCCCTCCTCCCCTCATACCCCTCCGTCCCCGTCCCCCCTCTGCTTCTGTCCCCCCCTCTCCCCATGGACTTATTCATGATAACTTGTGCTGAGTCGGGAAAGCGGGATACAGTTGGACGAATTTTGCCATCCAGGGTTGATTGCCAGATGGCTTGCACGCCTAGCGATATTGTTTGTTGTTTCCCTGCGCCATGCACACACGGTAGTCTCCGAACTTCTTTTGTGTAACCGCATGAAAGTGCGTGCGACCACGGGACCACGGCTGTTAGTAAGTAAGGATATGCTTGCAGTTTGTGCACATTTCGGGTAAATCAGGTTCGAAGGCATTATCGATTTGGCGGCGGAGTTCGTGGGTCGTGTAATTATGTTGGGTTGTCGTGTATCTTTTCTTGCGCAAGTACGGCCGGGACACGAACCCGAACCTATACGAACATATGATTCGCTCATCCGGGCGTCTCCTGGCCACAGAGACTGCTGGCAGAATTCCCCCAGCTGATGCGAGAAGGCCACATCAGGACGAGGAGTATCCTAGACGCTTGGCCTAACCCCACCATTCCATCCAGAAACGATGCCCTGGTGAGTTGCCCTGATCAGGGACGTGGAGAGAAGAATGCAGTGGGCTCAATGGTTGGGTAAGACGTCGTACCTTAAGAGGGGGACGATGGAGAAGGTGCCAGAGAAGCAGGAGAAGGAGGATGATTACGGAGAGAGTGAGGCGGAGCAGGGAGGATGAAGGAGGAGGAACAGGCAGGTGAGGGAGAGGAGGAGGAGGAGGAGGAGGAGGAGGAGGAGGAGGAGGAGGAGGAGGAGGAGGAGGAGGAGGAGGAAGGCCAGAGGCCTCTTTTCGGGTTTCTTTCGAGAGCTTTTTGGGGTTCTCTTGGGGCGTCTTAGGGGTCTCTTGGCAGTCCCTGGGGCCTCTTGAAGCGACTTGGTGATTTGGGGGGGGGCTCTTGGGCACCTCTTGGGGCCGTCTTAGGGCACGCTTGGGAGGCTCGGGCGCAATATTGGGACCATCTTGGAAGAGATCGATCAAAGGACGGGGGGCTCCTTATTTAGGCCCCCCTCCCCTGGGGAGGCCAAAATGTTGTGCCAAACTTTGTAAAATCAATGGTCATGGCCTTCTCGCCGAGGCTTCTTGGGGCGCCTTGGGTGACCCTGGGGTCTGCCTTTGGGGGGCGTCTTGGCGGTCTCCCGGGAGCCTTTTGGGGGGGGCCTCTTGGGGGCCTTTTGGGGCCTCCTGGGCACTTCTTAGGGCGGCCCTCTCCTGTCACCCTTGGGAGCCTCGGGGGCCGTCTTGGGGCCATCTTGGAGGAGATCGTCGTACTCAGTTACGCCCACCCCCCCCTCTACACGAGGGCGAAACGTGGCCAAATCTTTTTTGGGGTAAAGTCAATGATTCTGACTTCTTCGCCGAGGCCGTTTTTGGCGCTCTAACCCGTCGCACCCCCCCTCCAGGTCCTGGGGGGTGGTGTAGGTGTAGGGGGAGGGGTACACCCCTCCCCAAGGGGTTGTTGGAGGAAACTCTATAAACCACTAGCGCCCCAAAGGTCTGGTGGGATTTGTAGGGACCGAGGATGAAACAGGAGGAGATGGAACAGCGAGTCCACCAGCAAGCGCGAAGGCACGACGTCGCGGGAAGCGGAGTGGACAGCTCCCCCCCTAGAGGCAGGGCTGGGCGACTGCTCGCGGGCGGGGCCCGGGCCTGCCAGGGCCCGACATCCGCGCGCGATGCCCGGGCACGAGCTGCAGTGCTCTGGCCATCTGCACGTGCTTCGCTGCTCTCCCCGGCCCCATCCGCGCCTCGGGCTCCGCGCGCAGCACGACCTGCACCAACATGACCCGCATGGACCTCAGCTCGCACCTGTCGGCCTTCGGGGGCAACTCCGTGTCCAGCGGCTCCACCTACAAGGAGGGCGGAGCGCGGAGCTGCCGCGGGCCGATCGGTTTGATCTTGCGCGCCGGTATCGGCGCAGGGCATTGTTCGGTGCGGTCACGTTCCTCTGGGATCCGGCTCCCGTCCTCCACGAACGTGGTGCGATTGGTCGGATTCGACTGTGGAGGCGACACGATCGATCAGCGATTCGGGAAGAATGCCCCACGGCTCGGCCAAGTACAGGAGGGTATCTGGCCCACGTAGCGGCGGCCGCGCGGGCGATTGACGCAGCGTTCGAGTCGAGGGTTCAAGAAGGTAGCCGAGGGCGCACAGCGACACCAACGGCGAAGTTGACCGCTAGGAGACGGTGGTGGTGCCAACGGTTTTGCTGCAGTCGCAGAAATGGTTGCGACGATTGCGACGATGGCCACGACGTCGACGACGATGATGATGCTTGTGATTGAGCTGATGACGACGATGATGACGTCGGCCGGGACGATGCCGTCACAATAGGCGGCAGTGTTCTTAACACCGATGTTATTGCAACCGAAGGTGATCACAGGTACGACGGCACCAGTTCATCGTGTCGATCCGGCAGCGGCGTCTTCATCGTGCGTGGAATGTCGTGATTCCAGACAGCCTGATATGTTGAAATGCAGCAGCAGCGTGGAATAGGGATGTCCAGTTGCTGCGTCTACGCGGGGAACCGCCAGCCATACCCAGCCGCTTGCGGAAACGATGGGCACAGATATAGTGGGCATGTTCCTGATGGTGATGACGATTCGGAGACACGCTGTTGGTGGTGATAACGGTGGTGATGACGGCAATGATGTCGGTGATGCACGTTTGGCGGAACATGGAAGTTACACTATGATGGTGACCACGGGGATGGAGAAAGAGGCGATGACGGCCCGAAGCAGCCGCATGCCAAGCTTCATGGCCACCCACCGCTCGCGTCTCTCGTGGACATCCGGGTGTGCCCGGCCCGGGCGGCGACACGGCCCCGTCTCGAGGTTCCGACCCGTGTCCAGCCGGCCCGATTCTCATTCCCCCCACTCAACCAGCATCATCGTACATGGCCTGTTTCCCGTAGCCGGCAATGCCCTTCTGCGCGAGCAATTGTTATTGCACAAGCAGCAGCAGCAGCAGCAGCAGCAGCAGCAGCAGCAGCAGCGGCAGCGGCAGCGGCAGCAGCAGCAGCATGCTAAATCGGCGGTTGAACTGATCCACGAACGATATGCGAACTGCCCCTATGCATGATGTGATTCTTTACCGCAGTCCAGCTTTGCTGTCCCCGAGCTTTTCTCTTTCAGTACTCCAGCCTGTTTCGCGATACCTTCCCACTGACATTGAGAAGAGGAAGGCGGGTCCGAAGAAAGCTACGATGGAGGAGGAGGGAAGCGGACCTTAGCCAGCCTCGCGGATCTTCCATTTCCTAATTCTTATTTGGAGACGCGAAAGACGGTGTGGTTCAAACCGGGGGGTAAGGACAGCGATCAGTATGAGCAGATGCAGCAGCCTTTTCAGATGAGGCGGACAAACAGGATACTGAACGCATTGAGCAACATGGGGGACATGACCCATGAGCTGACTGTGAAGGTGACCAGTAGAGAGGAGCAGCGGCACGGAGGAGACGTTTGAGGAGTCGCAGGGGAGGCCTCCAGCTCGTCCTACGACCGCCACTGCTCGAACGGCAACGGGTCGAATGGGTCCGACGACTACAGCTCCCAGGAGATTCTCCGCGATGTGCGCTAAGTTAGGGGAACAGAAAGTGACATGAACATGACACTCGGAGGTCCGCGCACATTTCTCGGATCGGCCCTGGAGCCCCCCGGCGGCGCCTCTGGCGCTGCCCTCTGCGAGCTCCGCGCGGCAGGGAGGGGGGTCCAGCGCCGATCCGAGACATCCGCGCGGACCTCCGAGTTTTTATGCTTGTGCCACTTTTCGCTCCCCTATCTGAGTGTCTCGCACGCTTCCGTTTCACCCACCTGGGCGCAGTCGGCCTAGGAGATCTCCAGCCGGGTACTGGCGGCAACTCCGCCGCCGTGCGAGCCGAGTACTCCGTGTGCCGACTTCTCGAACGCCCGGCCGTGACGTGTGACGCATCTCGTCTCCACTTCTCGAAGAGCCATCATGGGTCGCCTTGGGCCCGTCTGTGGCCGTGCGGGGCGGTCTCGGGGTCCCTCTTGGGCCGTCTCCGGGCCCTCTTTTTGGCCGTCGTGGGGCTCTTTCGGGCCGTCTTGGGGCCCTCCTTGGGCCGCGTGGGGGAGTCTCTCGGGGCCGCCACGGGGCCGTCTTGGGCTGATTTTCGGGCCGCCGTAGGGTCGTAAGCCGTCTTGGGTCCCTCTGGAGGCCCTCTTGGGCGAGCTCTGGGCTCTCTTCGAGCCGTGGGGGGCCCCTGTTGGGGGCTCTCGGTGGACCTGCTGGGCCGTCGAAGACCGCAAGCGATCCGATCTTAGGCTGGGCCTCCTGCCTCCTCTTTGCCCATCTTCTCCCCCTCGCCCCTTTCTCCCCAAGGGGCCGCAAGAGTGCGCCAAGACGACTCCCAAATCGGGGAAGCTGTCCAGAAGTCGTCGCCTTCGGGTGTTCTGTATAGCAGTACTTGGGATATCCGTCAGGATTTGAAGCTAAATGGCCGTGGCAACCAGGAAAATGTGCAGGGGGTCTTTATGGTGCTCTGTCAGTCGAACCCGATATCCAGCGTCGTGGGATAGAAATGCACCAGAGATAACTCCAAGCAGTTGCTCGCTTTGGCCATGTGAAGGCTGCGCGCAGGTGGTGGATGTGATCAGGGGGCGAATTATGGGATAGTCTCTGCTCCCTGCCTATCCTTTACATGCCATCTGCATTCTGCCTGTACTCTCTTTCCTCCTTCGCTGTACTCTGTCAGAACTCTCGGGTTCCTCAGAAACTGGCCCCAACCAGGAACTCTAGAGCCCGATAACGGGGATGCGGAAGCCCAGGAACCGAGAAGCTTGGAAACTTGGCCACACACTGAGATCGACGGCGCATGTTCGCCAACTCTTTGCAACATCCAGGGGGACTGTTTCAGCGTAGTGCCAGGACGGATCGGGTAATTGAAACGGCGTGCACAGAAAATGCAAGACTGGGGCTCTGGAAAACGACAGGTGCTTCTTAAGCCGAATCGACCCCAGATGGCCGCGGGGCCCGGCACGGAGCGAACACGTGAGTTTCTCCTTCCTCATCTCTCCCCTCTCTTCTTACTCTCTCTCGGCAGAGAACAAAGAGTACCAATGACACGCTGCACTCTGGAGCCCATCGGCGTGCTGCTCCCTCGCTTCTGTCCCAAATTCTTGAGGGCTCTTCCAAAGGAGCATGCTGACGCATTCCCCATGGCGGCGTGTCATTGATATTGTTCTTGCTCCCCTTCGGGAAAACGTGAGACTCGAGTTCGCCAGAACTGGGGTTTGCCGACGTCTTCAGCGGGAGCTCGCGCCAAGTTTCAGACTGAGTCTCGTCATCTTCTTGACGGCCTCGCCAGGCCAGCCCGAGTCCCCCGAACCCGAGTCCCTCTACGGGAGGAATATCCAAAAATAGTCCAACAATAGTCTGGAGACTATTTGTTTTATACTAGTGATGGGGCTGAACCGAGCGGTCATTCACTGTCACTGGGTGCGTGGCTGAAGTGGAATTCCGCGATGCGGATTCTTGTTGTTTGTTGTTTGTTGTTGTCGTCGTCCCACCCGCGACCCGCCCCGCGACCCACCCGCGACCCACCCCGCGACCCACCCACGACCCACCCGCGACCCACCCCGCGACCCACCCGCGACCCACCCCGCGACCCACCCGCGACCCACCCGCGACCCACCCGCGACCCCCCGCCCCACCCGCGACCCACCCGCGACCCACCGCGACCCCGCGACCCACCGCGACCCACCCGCGACCCACCCGCGACCGCGACTCACCGCGACCCACCCAAAATTTTCGGCGCCTGCGGCGGGTTTCTTTTGCATTCGTTCCAGCTGGGGAACCTGCGACCCACCCGCGACCCAAGCCGCGCCCGCGACCCACCCGCGACCGACCCACCGCGACCCACCCCGCGACCCACCCAAAATTTTCGGCGCCTGCGGCAGGTTTCTTTTGCATTCGTTCCAGGTGGAGAACCTGCGACCCACCCGCGACCCAAACCGCGTTCAGCGTACAAATCAAAAATTTCGGCGCCTGCGGCGGGCTGTTTTTGAATTCCTCCCAGGTGGAGGTAGAGAGCCCACGACCCACCCGCGACCCAAACTACGTTCACTGAACAAGCCAAACATTCGGCGCCTGCGGCGGGTTCCTTTGCATTCGTTCCAGGTGGAGAACCTGCGATCCAAACCGCGTTCAGTGTACCAATGAAAGTTTCGGCGCCTGCGGCGGGCTGTTTTTGCATTCCTTCCAGGTGGAGGCGGAGAGCTCGCGACCCACCCGCGACCCAAACTACGTTCTTTGAACAAGCCAAACATTCGGCCCCTGCGGCGGGCTGTTTTTGCATTCGTTCCGGGTGGCCCACCAGCGATCCCCCCCGCGCTGAATTTGTCAGAGCACGAGGAGGAGGAAGAGGAGGAGGAGGAGCAGCAGGAGGAGGACGAGGGCGCCATCGACAGGGAAGGTGAGGGCCACGAGGTCCGCCAGCTCGACGCCCGCGTCGCCCGCGCCCGCCCCCTCACTCTTTTCCGAAATTGCGGGGTGCAACGTAATGTTTTGATCGTTCTTGATTGTTCTGATCATGCTCCTCGAAAATCGGCCTGTAGGGGGACAGGCCCGACTTCATCTTACGTCTCCCCGACCTCTCCCCGTCTGTCTCTCTTCGCCCGCCCGCTGCTTCGTCCGACCGCGGCCCGCCTCGCGCGCCGCAGCGCGCCCGAGGCCGCCGCCAGGCCTCCGAAGAGGCCCAAAAGGCCTCCAGAGACCGCCGGGGACCGCCGCGTCCCGCCGGGGTCGGGGCTGAAGGGGCGGAGGTCAGTGCAAGCGGGGGCCAGCCAGAGCGCCCGATCCTGCATGACCCAGCAGTGCCAGGGGTCGCATTGACTTGGATCAGGGTGCAGGGTCCTGCAGGATCCTTCGCATTGACCCTGGCTTGGGCGCAGGATCTTGCAGGATTCTGCAAGGCCTGACTGACCCAGGTCTGGATTGACCCGGGTCAGAAGGACCCCGATCGGGGGCCGTCTAAGGCCGCAGCAAGGGGTCCGTGGTTCGACTAAGTTCGGCGGCGAGCGAGGGAGTGAAGTGAGAAGGAGAAGGCCCTCTCAGAAGGCGGCGGGGCTTCCCAGAGACCCTCGGGCCTTCTGAGAGGTGTCCTGCGCCTTCTGAGCGGCTCTGATTTTCGGGCTGTGCCTTAGATCAGGGTCGGGGAAACCTGTTCGTGGCCGAAGCACGCCGATTCTTCGTTCCTTACTCAGCGTTTTTTGTGGTAGCACGATGACTGTAATCGAGTGGCCCTTCGCAAGAGTGACCTTTCAGTCTGTGCCCACAAGGGTTCCGGCAGCGCTGGGAATTTGACCCCCCCCCATCGTCCCTCTCCTCCAGGCGGACCGCACAAGTCTGGCACCACGGGTCACAGTTGCTTATACGGTCGGACCAACGCATCAGATCCAGATCGGTGCGTGGAAGGTATCCTAATGTTCTTCGTCTGTGTTGGATGTTCTTGCGCATCCTGGGGGAGGACGCCCTCGAATGCTCTGTGTGTTTAGGCCGTTTGAGGGCCCCGTGTTCTTGAAGGGTGCTACTCTGTCCTAAGTCCGACTGTATAGGGTCGTTCTTGCGAGCAGCCGAGCAATCCACTGCGCAAGCTGTACCCATCGGTCGTTAAAAGCAGGTATTTTTTTGCATCCCCAGATTCCAATCTACTTCAAGCGCCTTCCTACTTCCACGATCCAGTGGCTTGCCCTCTTCCCTCCCCCCCCTTCAGGGGGCGGGCGGAGACCCAATCCGCTCTTCAGCGCCTTCCTGCTTCTTGTTCCCACCTGCATCCCCTCCTCCGTCTTCTCCTCCGTCTTCTCCTCCTCCTCCTCCTCCTCCTCCTCCTCCTCCTCCTCCTCCTCCCAGGTCATCTTCTCCCTGCCCTCTCCGGGCGCGTGCGCGGCTCCCGTCGCCGCCTGCCCGCCGAGCCTCGCCCCAAAGAGACCCGCCCCGCGCCGCGCCTCGTCGCCGCCGCCAGGGGGGCTCCTCCGGCGGCTCGGGCCGGCGGCGCGACGACGCCCTCGGAGACCAGGCGGCGCTCACGAAGCAGGCTCGGCTCTGCCGCGCCGCCTGCGTTCCTCCTCCTCCTCCTCCTCCTCCTCCTCCTCCTCCTCCTCCCTCCTCCTCGTCGTTTTCCTCCTCCTCCTCCTCCTCCTCCTCCTCCTCCTCCTCCTCCTCCTCCTCCTCCACAGCAGAGCCCAGACACGACCGCGCCGCGAGTGTTCCTCGTTTCCGGAACAGGGCCCAGACATTCGTCGCGTCGTACATCTTCGCGCGCGCGCGCAGAAGCCACCCAGACGGCAAGTGCTTCGCTACTTGCGGCCCCTGGGGGCCCTCGCTGGTTCCCCCGGAGCGTAACAAAAATGACCCAGCCCCGGGCAACGGGTCGAGACTTCGGGGTCGCCGCACTGAAAGAATCAGGACGTCGCATGTCTGGGAAGTGTACACAGACACCCTCCAGTGGATTGCCCCTGGGCCGCAGGGGAGGGTGGCGGTGTATAAACCCGCCGCCGGGAGCCAGCGACGTTGTACATTGCCGCCCTCCCTGAAGGAACATGCAAAGTTCGTCGGAGGGCGTCTGTGTATATATATATATATATACATATATATATATATATATATATATATGTATATATATATGTAGATACATATGCATGGAGTATGGTCGGCCTCCTGCTCACGCCGCTCCTCCTCGTCTCGGCCTCTAGCGCAACTCTACTCTGGCGCGGCGCCAAGTGTCTCCAGCTGTCCCCGCCTCTGACGTGGATCTTCTTCTCGGCTGCGCCTGGGCGCTTCGGAGACACGCGTCGCCGCAGGGTGCTGTCTCTCCTCCTGCTTCCCACTCCCTCCGTTCTCGCCATCGCCGCTGCAGGTGTGTCTCAGCAGAAGCGCCCAAGGGTTGCGCCTGCGTCCTTTCCTCGCGTCAGGAACCTGAGCTTTAACTGAACGCTGCGGGGCCCACCGATGATATATGACGGCAGCGGCCTATGCGAGGGAATTTCGAGAGGTGCCAGGGGGTGCAGCGTGGAGGAGGGAGGGGTAATGGTGCGACGGGGGGGGGGAGCATGGGTAGCCAGGGACTGGGAGCAAAGGATAGCGGTGGGTGGCAACCGAGCGTTGTGGGTGGGGGCTCTGTCCTCTTTGACCGCCCCTCCGCACCGCCCACGGCCCACGAGCTGGACCCACTGGGGATGGAGGAAGAGGAGGACCGTTGCGACTGTCTGATGCCGGCAGCAGTGGTGGGGACTGTTGCGAACGTCTGACGCCGACAGCGACGGCGGCGAGCGGCGGCGCGAGAAGGCGACGGCAGGCCTTGTCCTCCTCCTCCTCCTCCTCCTCGATGCCCTGTTCGTTTTGTCATCTTCAAAGTCTTCGTCTTCCTTTTCCCCATCCTCCTCCTCGTCCTCCTTCCTCGCAGGCTGTGGTGGCTTCGGTGTCCTTGAGCACGCGCGTGGCACCCGCATGCCAGGATGGTCCTGGCAGGGTCGGGGGTCCCTGGCCATCTGGTCGTGGTTAGCGCACCGCGGTGCTCACAGGTGCGTTGGTGGAACACGTAGGATATTGGGGTGCTCACGAGAGAATTTGTTCCGTTCGCAGCCATATTGTGGCGCTCGCAGGAGATTGCGGAGTTCACAGGGCCCTTGGTGGTATCACAGTGGCGCATATGTTTGCGGTGTGTATTTGCAGGTTGCTCCTGTGCGTGCTACATGGTGTTGGTAGAACTTGGCGTATTGTTGCGCAGACTGTTGCGCTCGCATTGCTGTTACTGTTCTGGCAGAGTCTGTCTTCTGTCTCTTCGCCGTCACGTGGCGATCGAAATCACGTGTGGTGCGCGCGGACATTTCGTGGCGCGCGCAGGCATTGCGGCCGAACCTTGCTACAAGGCTGAGGTGCGCGTGAGCTCTGCGGAGGTGCCAGTGGCACACTGAGGGGGAGAGAGTATTGCGTTTGGGCGCCCCCACCAAAATAGGGCCCGCTCTGGCCACGAATGGAAGCAAGGTTGTCTGACATTGAGGGGGGATGAAGGAGGGATGGGGAGGGATGGAGGAGAGAGGGGAGAAAGGAAGGGATGACGGGAGTCTCCTCCCTTGCCCTGTCCACAGTTCCTGTATCAATCTGTTTGTCATCCTCCGCTCAGAGAGTGCCCCGCCCCTCTCCACGTTTTGCTTCTTAAATATATGTTTGTTGTTAGTTCCCATAGTTTTCCAGACGGACCGTCATCGGTGTCTCAAAACGGTGCTGCCGCTGCAGCGTGGGCCTCACTTTAGAATCGGCGCTTTGCCCCAAGCGTTCAGAATGGCGCTCTCACCGCAGGCTTGTGGAACTCGATTATTGGAGAGGAAGCATGCTGCCAAATAATTTCCAGATGTCTAGATTTTTGTTCAAATATGTTTTAAACATGTAAAGACATGTTCGAAACATGTTTGAAACATTTTCTTATATTTCAAACACATTTTAAATTCAATGATAGGACTGTTCGAGTGTCCATTGTCATGGCATCCATAACCGTAGGCCACGGTTCTGACTCCGCGTGCTTCCTCGTCGTTGTCGCCCCGCTCCTTCGATCCCTCCTCCGACTTCTCCCGGTCATCCTGCTCTCCTCTCTTCTCTCATTCCAGCTCCTGCTGTTGCTGTTGTACCTCCTCGTCCTCATCCTTCCTCCTCCCCCTGTTGATCCGCCCCCTCCCCCGATGCGCACAGCTCATATCTTCCGATTGCGCGTGGCACGATGGGGTCCGTTCCGGTCCGCTATTGCACGCATCGGCGGACAGAGAAAGATCCGCTCAATGAGAAAGGCTGGGCGGGAGGGGTATGGTGCCAGATATGGCGCACGCGCACCTGGCTTGCCCTCCGTCTCTTTGCCCGTACTGTTTTTTTGCATCGTCTTCCCTCCCCAGTGCCTGAAGAGAATGCCAGCCACGGTGGCCATGACGTCCACGCATACGTACTGCTGTGTAAGAGAGGGAGAGGGGTGGAGTGAAACATGGGGGTAGGGAGAGGGAGGGGGAAGGGGAGTGCAGGATGGAGATGGAGAGAGAGAGAGAGAGTGAGAGAGGGAACGATAATGAGAGATATAGCCAATGAAGGAGGGAGAGAGAGAGAGAGAGGCAGCGGCGAGAGGAAGAGATAGTGAGATCGAGCGAGGGAGAGAGAGAGAGAGAACAACAGCAACAACAACACAGTATTAAAGCATGTGAAATTATATGTATTTACATGGGGGAGGGAGAGAGAGAGAGAGAGAGAGAATTGGGAGAGATAGAGAGAAGCAACCCAAAAGGAAGAGAGAAAGAGAGAGAGAGAGAGCGAGATTAACCAACCTATGTGTATACATACATACATACATATATATATATACACATCTATACAGAGAGGGAGGTAGAGAGAGAAAACACAAACACCAATTATCCTAGCGAAATACCCAACCATATGCAGTTGTGAGTAACCAAATGGTAATACAGTCCTCGGTTGAGCTCCTTATGGGGACACGAACCTTGTGAGGGGTGCGCCGAAATGGAGGTTTAACTGCATGCGAACTTTGCCATTGGGGCCTTCAGTGGAGCTCCCTAGGGGGCCACGAACCGTGTGAGGGCTGCGCCGAAATGGGGGTGGAACTGCACGCGAACTTTGCCATTGGGGCCTTCGGTGGAGCTCCCCATGGGGCCACGAACCGTGTGAGGGGTGTGCCGAAATTGGGTGGAACTGCATGCGAACTTTGCCATTGGGGTCCTCGGTGGAGCTCCATATGGGGCCACGAACTGTGTGAGGGGTGCGCTAGAATGGGAGTGGAACTGCATGCCAACTTGGCCATTGAGGCCTGCAGCAAAGTTACCTATGGGCCACGGACCGTGTGGGGGGTGCGCCGAAATGGGGGTGGCACTCCATGCGAACTTTGCCACTGGGGTCTTCGGTGGAGCTCCCTATGGGGCCACGACTCTTGTGAGGGGTGTTTCCGAAATTGAGGTTTAATTGCTTGCGAACTTTGCCACTAGGGCCTTCGGTGGAGCTCCCTATGGGGCCACGAACCGTGTGAGGGGTGGGGCCAACATGGGGGTGGAACTGCATGCGAACTTTGCCACTAGGGCCTTCGGTGGAGCTCCATATGGGGCCACGAACCGTGTGAGGGGTGTGCTAAAATTGGTGTGGAACCGCATGCAAACTTTGCCACTGGATCCTTCGGTGGAAGTGCCTACGGGGTCACGAACCGTATGAGAGGTGTGCCGAGATGGCGGTGGAACCGCATGCGAGCTTTGCCACTGGGGCCTTCGGTGGAGCTTCCTATGGGGCCACGAACCGTGTGAAGGGTGCGCCAAAATGGGGGTGGAACCGCATGCGAACTTTGCCACTGGGGCCTTCGGTGGAGCTCCCTATGGGGCCACGGACCGTGTGAGGGGTGCGCCGAAATGGGGGCGGAACTGCATGCGAACTTTGCCACTGGGGTCTTCGGTGGAGCTCCCTATGGGGCCACGAACCGTGTGAAGGGTGCGCCAAAATGGGGGTGGAACCGCATGCGAACTTTGCCACTGGGGCCTTGGGTGGAGCTCCCTATTGGGCAACGAACCGTGTGAGGGGTGGGTCAAAATGTGTGGTGGTGAGAGGAAGGAGGAGGGGGAGGAGGGCGGGGAGAAGGAACGCAACAGGATGGCGAGAAGGAGGGGACCGTCTCTTCAAAACGAGGACCCCACACCACAGGATGGTTGGGAAGAAAGAGCGAGAGAGGAGGAGAAGGGAGTAGGGGTTGTATGGTTGGGGGGCAGACAGACGGGGGGAGGGGAGGCGGCACTGCCGCGGCACGAGGTGGAGGGAGGGAGGCGGGGAGAGGAGGGAGGGACGAGGGGGGGGGGGGGAGAGAGGGATTGGAGGCAGGGGAGCCGGGATGGGAGGCAGGGGATGCCCGGACGTAGATGGGGCGGTGGAGGCCTCCGGCGAGGAGGGCTGTCGTGACCGCCCGCCCGCCGCAGGCCCTGGACGACGCTGCTCGGCGGCAGCCGCACAGGGGCGTGGTCCCGCGCGGGAGGGGGGTCGCGAAGAGGTGCGGTGAGCACGTGCTCGTGCAGAGGGGCTCGCAGTCCGCAGCACGACCCCTCCCGGCCTTGCGCGCCACTGCTCCTCCCGTGGTTGTGGGGGCTTCCAGCTGGAACCCTGACTTGTAGCGCCCTCCCACAGGTCAAGCAGAGGCGAAGCGTCCTGGCTCGCCTGTATCCCTACCAGACAATGTTCCAAGAACCTTTGCTTGTGGTCTCCACGAAGTGTTCTCAGAACATTTCTGGTGGAGTCTGTTTCGTTTTATCACATCGGGCTTATGTTCTAGGAGCATGTTTTTTTCTTAGAACATTGCTGGGTTCTAAGAGCATTTCGTGGTCTGGTCGGTGTCTACATTTGAGCCACCTTGCGCGGGTCTGCGTCTTCCGGCTTTCCTCATGAGTCTACATTGTGTGGGCTGTTAGCGTTTCGCTGACGCGGATCAACTATGTCCCGACGTGGGATTTCCCCGCCGGAGACGCTCCGTCTTGCCCTGCCGTCGGCTGGCGAAGGTGCCGGCGATGGCGAAGACGGCGAGAGTCGGTTGACGAGCGACCAGTGGCGGCGCCGACGACAGCGAAGATGGGCGATCGCCGCATCAAAGGTCGAGATGTTGAACGAGCTTGGGCGCATCAAAGAGGCCCGCACGCCCCACCGCGGCTCGCTCTGCTTCTCTTTGGAGCCACGGAGGCCCTCCTCCACTCCCTGTCGCCATTGTTCCTCTCATCGTCTTTCCCTGTGCTTGTCATGCCCTCCTGATTACCCTTGCCATGCTCCTCATTGTGTTCCTAATTATTCGTGCTTCGCTTCCTCGTCTTCCCAGTCTTCATCCATCTCCGATCACCCACCTCATTTCGATTATGCTCCTCCTACACCTCTTTCTCGTCCCTCTCCCTTCCCTACCTCGTGCCCGTCCAACTATCCCTCCTCCACCCCTTCATCGTACCACTCTCTATTCCTCCACAGGTTTATCATCATCAACAACATCATCATCACCATCAGCATCAGCATCAGCATCAGCATCACCACCATCACCATCACCATCATCAGCAGCATCAGCATCAGTATCATCAGCATCATCAGCATCATCAGCATCATAATCATCAGCATCATCAGCATTATCAGTATCGTCATCATCATCAGCATCATCATAATCGTCATCGTCATCGTCATCGTCATGCCTTCCATCCTTACTGTCATTCCCATCATCTAGACTTGTCATTTCCTCCTTCCTTTTTCTCATTCTCTCCCCGCCTCCGCATCTTCCTCCTCCTCCTCCTTCCCGACATCCCCATCCTTCTCCTCCTTCTCCTCGGCACCATCGATGGTGAGCAAACTGTGCCTGCCAGCGAAATCGCGGCCCTGGTCTGGTCCCTTCGGGTCACCACGGGGCCGCTTTTGCTTTGGACCGATTGCAAGGTCGTTTCCCAGGGCTGGGCCGAGGACCTGGCGGAAAAAACGACTGGACCTTCAGTACGCTGGTGGAGTAGAATTCAAGACGCCCTGCGAAGCAGGGGGGCAGCGGTAGAGTGGTCGTTCGTAAATGTTTCTCGCACTTGGACGTTGATTCCCATTTTAGCGTAGGTCCGTGTGTGCACGTCTCGAGGGGAAACGAGATGGCGGATCTGCTAGTCCAGCGAGGCGCCCAGGCTGCATCTCTTCCCATCCGTTCGGCCATCCAAAAATTGAATATCGCTGACGCGAGAGCCACCCTCGTGCATTAAAGAATTGGGGCGATCCCGGCCCAGAGTTGCGAGGACTTCGACCGTTCCGACCGCGGTGAATTCGGCTTGGCTTCGGGGCCGTCCAGGCTTCAGGAGCTCGAGGCCCAGTCGGGCCACGAGCTCGTGCGTCTGCAAAACGGTTTGTGGTCCTGCAAACGGTGCCGACAGTCCCCTGGTAGATTCTCGCTTGCTGACTGGTCGGGCAGCAGTCAATGTCTCGGGGACTGTGCCAAGAGAAGGATCTGAGTGAGCGGGGCCACCACTTTTCTGCGTCCCTCCCACCTGTATCAGAGAGCTTCGGGTGGGGTCCGAGGCGGCGCACGCTTCGCGCTCGACCGCCATGCAGCACGGCCTGGCGCGGTGTTGGGGATGCGCCCGATGTGCTTCCATCGTTGAGGGCAGAGGCCGTCTCTGCAAGTTTGCCCAGGAGTGCCCGCAGGTACGCACTCAGTCGGGCAAGCCCATGGACTAATCGTATCCGCAAGGGCCTCACTCCGAAAGCGGGGCTGAGCCGGGCTATCCCCCTCCTGCGGGGGGGGCGGACCTCCCCTGCCAGTGGCTGATAGCTCGGTCAAGTCTTTTGGGGGGAGGACGGACGGGAGGGGGGGTTTGGGCCGCTCGCTCAAGAACCCCCTCAGGAGACATCGTTAACTTATGAGCTATTTGACCAGTCGGAGAGGCGTAGCAACGCTGCGGCCTCTCTTCGAATGTGTATTTATGTAGATTCCTCCTCCTTTGACTACTTCAGTAAGGGTTTGCTTGGAAGAGAGTTGCAGAGTGCGCCGCCCTGCCGCAACCGCGGGGCTCAAGCTTTCACGGGCGGGCGCACGCTTCTCGCGCGCGTCGCATGCCCGACCTGCCGGTGGCTGTCGCGCATTGGGCTGGGCAGGCCACCTTCGCCTGGCTCGGCTCCTGCCCGCGGTGCCCCGAGTCCGTCTGCGGCTCCCTCGTGTGCGGTGAGGTGCACTGCCCCCCGGCGCCAGCGTGCCCGCAGTGCCCCGCGTGCCCGGGCTGCCCTGGGGCCCCCGAGCCAGCCTGCACCACCCCTGCGGCAGCGCCGCCGTGGCTCCCCAGCTGGATTGTATCCGCTGGACTCCTGCTGCTGGGCGCGGCTGGGGGAGCGGTGGTGCCTGCCCTCGCGCTGGGCATCTGGCAGGTGCTGCGCTGGCTGACGGCTCAGTGTCCCCGCCGCGGGACTGATGGCGGCGGCGATGCCCCCACCGATACTACGACCCTGGCTGTGGCTCCGGTACCAGGGCGAGGCGCTGTACCACCAGCGGCGCGTTGTCGGGGTGCTGGCCTCCTCGGCGACTCAAGTGACGCACGCTGACGAGGTCATCGGCGTCTCGCCGGACGGCGACCCCGAGCAGATCGACCTCTCGGGGGCCTCGCGGGACATCGAGGCCTGGCGATGGTCGGAGGCTTTCCGCCCTCCCCCGCCTGGGATCCCGCCTGGCCAGGTGTACCGCTTCCAGCAGGAGCCCGACGCCGCCGCCCTCGCCACGATGCGCGCGGACGCGGAGGCGTTCTGCAACGCCGCCTTCATCGCTCGCGAGCGGGCGGCAGGGCAGCCCGCAGTGCTCCCAGCGACGGGCAGCCTGGTCGATGCCGTGTGGCCCGCGCCCGTGGCGCCAGCCGCGGCCGCCGCCGTGGCCCCCGCAGCCCCCGGGCTGCCGCTGGCGCTCCCTGGGGTGGCGCCCCCCCCGGGCCCTCCGGCCCTGGGCGCCCCCGCCGCGGCCGCCGCCCCGCTGGCCCTGCTCGGAGCACCCCCAGCCGCGCTGCCCGGCGCTGCACCACCGGGGGCTGTGGTGGTGGCCCCGCTGGCCGCCGCGGCGCCTGGAGCCGCCGCCCCGGCCGCCTTCCCCGCGGCCGTGGCTGCTGGTGCCCCTGCAGCCGGGGCCCCGCTAGCCGCAGGGCTTGGCGTGGTGGCAGCAGCACCCTACCCGATGCTGGTCACGGTCGAGACGACGACGTACGGCCCTCGCGGGACTCCAGTGGCGCCGAATGGCACGGAGGTCATGTCTGGTGACATCGGCATCCACGTGGCTCCTGGCTTCGGTGGCGCGCTGGTTCGCACGATCCGCTCCGACCAAGCGCAGGATTTCAAGGGCCTCGAGGCCGCGGGCGACGCCCGCCTCCTCAGCGTGATCGCGTTGAATGGCCAGCGTTCGCGTCGACCATGGCGGGACGTGGCCAGCTCGCTATCTGAGGTCGCCTTCCCCGACTGGGCGATCGAGGGCCCTCGCACCACCCTTTGGTGCTGCCGCTGGATCGACCGTCGGGGCGGCGGCCCTCTCGACCACCACCGCTTCTTCGTGATGGTCCACCGCCTCCACAAGGACAGCTGGGGCGTCCCGATGCACGAGTTCGGGATGAAGGCCCTGGAGACCCTCGGCGCCTACGACTCGCTCGACCTGCCGAACGTCGCGGGGATCGAGTCGCTGATGCGCGAGGTGCAGCTGGTCGAGTACGCGTATGCGAAGCACGACGGGTTTGCTGGCGCCAGCACCGAGGTGGCCGACGGCGACCTGAATGCCAAGAAGAAGGGCCGTGGCCGTGGCCGCGGCCATGGAGGCGCCGCTGGTGCCTTCGGTTACCTGGATGAGCACACGGCCTTCCGGGGGCAGCGAGAAACGGGAAACGCCATGGTGTGTCCCGCCTTGGTCGAGTGGGTTGGCAAGCAAGTCGAACGCGATGCCAACATCTTAAAGCAGGTCCGAAAAGCCCGAGAAGAGCGGGCTGATGCGGGCCATGGTCCAAAGTAGTCTTGGACACGCAGCGGTCGTTCCCCCAGGCGCCCGCTGTTTACATTCTGAGGGGCTAGGCTCGCTGCGGCAGGCGCGCCTCGATTTTCTGCCAGCAGAGGCGCAGGGCCGCGCCAGCATCTTTCCCTTCCTCCTGTCCTCCTCGTGCTCTGGCCATCGCGTGGCGCCTGGCCCCCACTTCGAGAGCGTGCCCTCGTGGTATGTTCCCCCTGCCTGTGCCGGCCTCCTCTGACCCCCCTAGGGCCTCTGTCTCGCGCAAAGTTCGGAGGAGATTCGAGGTCCACCGTCAGTCAGCATCCTTGGTCTCCGAGGTGGTTTCGGTCTTGAACCAGTTACACGGTCAACACGGTTTGGACAGCGGTCAAACAGTATCGGCGGCCCAGAAGGCGTGTTTGGAGCATATCCACCGAGCGGTTCCACGATTTGGCAAGCCCCCGGTAGACCTCACCTTAGCAGGGGCCTTACGAGAGCTCCGCGTCAACCCAGGCTACTCCGTGACGAGCAGCCCCGCGGTTCTCATCAGCGAGGCCAATATAAACAGAGTCGCCCTTCCTCCTGTCGGGTGGTCACCTGCTGGAATTTTGCAGCTGGGCGGCTCCGTCGGCGAAGCCATAGTTGATGAGTTGCATGCGCTACGGCGTCCTGACCCAGCACTTACAGATACTTCTATACCTCCTCCCAGAATTTACCACGATCCTTATCTCCGTTCTCATCCTCGGCTTTATGCGCGCTTCCTGCTTCGCCTCAGTCAGTCTAACCTTGTGACGTGGAGGCGAGAGTGTACATCTTGTGTGGGAGTTTTCTTTGTGGCAAACAAGAACGGTGACCTTCGTTTGATCCTCGACGGGCGTCAGGCAGGCGAACATTTCGATGAGCCCCCTCACGTTGATCTAGCTACTGGTTCGGCGTTCTCGGCCTTGGAGGTTGACGGCGGGGGGCCTATCTACGTTGGGGAGACGGACGTTGATAATGCCTTCAATGGGATTCAGTTACCTCCTGAGTTTTGGCAGTTTTTTCGGCCTGCCTCGAGTACGAGCTGGGGTCCTAGGTATCACTGCCGACAGCGCTGGAGGCCCCTTGAGGGCCAGCGACTGGGTTACCCCGTGCTTTACCGCCGTCCCAATGGGATGGAAACACAGTCTCTGGATCTG